AAGTCTCTGGACGCCCCATTGCACGCGCAAACGGGGAAGCTGTTGGATCCCCTGAACGGACTGTAGCGGGATCCGCAAGAGTCTCCCAAGCATATGCGGAGGCTTTGAACGCCTCGTCCAGACTCCATACCGATCAGCGAATGGACGCTCCATGGATGAAGTCGGAACTCACTGGTGCGACGCCAATGCCGCTAGACCCATCGTGTTGTCGTGCTTGTGAGCGGGACTGATGGTTGGTTGTAGATCAGCAACCTTCGAAATAGAGGGAAACAATATTTACTCAGCAAGTATCTCATTGCTCGGCTTCAGTGTATCCAGCATACTTGAGATGCGGGTGTTGGCGAACACGTTTGGTTCAACCTCGCGGTACACGTGGTGAGTGGCGAGATACCGGATGAATCGCGCTGTGACTGGTGAGATACTCTGGAACTCATCGAAGCTTGAGACCGTACCAAGCTTCTCTGGGTCCTGACCATTTTTGGCCGCAATATCCTTGACATGCAGTCCCTTTGGATGTATACAGTCCTTTGCGTTGGATGTTTATCTCGCGGGACTTACCCGTGGGCCTGCTTCGCGTAGAATTTCGGTTACGCCCGACTCCAGACAGACACGCAATGCGGCAGACTTGAAATGCTGAACAATGTGATCAGAAGGGCGCTGGTATCGGCGAATCACAAGGTCATACTCCTCCTACAACACGATACAATGAAACATGAGGAGGTGTAATGATTGCCTCGAGCTGCAGTGCCGCAGCGCTGATTATGGTAGCAGCTTCCGCGGCAGCTGGAACAGCACGAAAGGCCTCAGAAGGAGGAGCAAACGGAGTGTGGAGGTCGGGGATGGTGGTTCCCGATGCCTCGCAAGCAACCTCCAGAGCCTTGACAGACTCAGTGATAATTTCGAGGAGTTGACGGATGGGAGTCGACATGAGGAGAGATGACAGTTCTTCCGTCAAGGGACCCTTTAAACCGACGCCAGTGCGCAGCCTAGCTGGCGTGGCGTCGCACGGATTTACAGCAGCTGTCTCTCGCTTGGCGAGAGGCCGAACGAACCTTAGTATTGATCCTTGATCCAAGCATCATGGACCCACGGCCCACCAAAGCGTCACCAAAGAAGACCTCCGAATCTGCGTTCTCTGCATTTCGATTAGTATAGATCCATTTCCAACGCAATACGCCCATACTTTTTGCAGGCACCGGAGTCGACTCCGAGGAATGTTCTAGTTTGGTGCTGTATTTATGCATACACACGAGGCAGCACATGTCAGTGGGTCCATCGGCGTGGTCGACCCACGCGTTTGTCGGAAGGCGTTGTATTTCGGATCTCTCGACCTCCGACTTGAGCGGCAACACCTCTGTCGGATATTCTGAGGTTCAAATTGTGGAGGTGCTTGAACGGACAACATCCAAAGGAGGTGGGGGTGGGCTATCCGGTTCTTCAGCTCTGTTGCCGGTACAGACAGCGGGATATGTGTGACCGGCAGATTGAGAGCCACGGGGATGACGGCTTTATACGTCAAAAGCGGTCTATACAAATTGGCCACCGCCGTTCTCTCGTTGAAATTGAACTACGGTCGTCGGTGGGTAGTGAGTTCGACACGGGGCATGAAACGCTGGTCCCGGAGAAAGGAGTCGATTGGGTTACCGAGGAACCGGTGATGCTCGACCAAGTTACGAGGCCACTCGATTTCATCTGAGATGGAGTGCCCGAAGCGGCGATGCAACCGTGGGAAATGGGCCAAATCCTTTGATCGCCGGTGTCTGGCACACCGCGGCCCGCGGCGTCATTCTGCCTCCGTATTCCGTATTGCGTAGTGCACTCGGACTGGCTGTATTTGCGTGTCCTGCGAGTTTTCCGCATGACAACATACAGCGTCTTCTGCCCAAATTTCCCTTCATCCAGGTCGCCGACATCACGTAGAGTTGCCGTGTCTGATCCGTAAGTTGAATTCTGACATTTCTTGGTCGGCATTTGTTTGCGTTTGATTTTGGACCCGAATTTGGATAGAAAATGTTGTGGTCGATCATAGTCGTCCGTAAGAACTTAAAGAAGAGAAGAAAATCTTGCGAATCACATCAAATGTGTACCAGTAGCCGAGAATGTGGGGAGTGGGGGACCCGTGAACAAGCGCCGAGGGCAGTCAGCGAGATGTTTCATGACTGCGTTGACGTTGCCGTTGCACACACTACCGTGGTCCATGAGAGATCGGGGCTCGGGCGGCCATCACATCAAACAACGGCGGGTAACTAGTAGACGGAGGGTAGACAATTTGGATCGTTTTTTGTAGACTCCGTCGATACCTGAAGCATTAGGAAGACTTGAGTACCTGTCATTAACGCCCATGGAACATGCGGGTGACGCGTCCTTGGGTCACCTGGCCAAAACGGGATTTGAACCCTCGACTTCCCGTCAACCAACAGCGGGTAGTCAGACGGAGAGGTTGTTCTCCGACAATCCATATCATTTGTGGTAATCCCGTCTATATTTTGAGGCATTAGTAAGACTCGAGTACTTGTCATTCACGCTCATGGGATAGGCAATAGGTGACGTGTCCTCTTCCGAGAACACATCTGCCATGGATGAGGGTGGACGGGGTACAGCCATGGCTGTCGTATAAAGTCGGCCGCATTCCTGAAGAAAATCAACGAACCATTCGACAGTAACTCCTCACCAATTTTCACCAACCTCACAAGAATTTCAACATGTCTCCAATCCCTCATCGCAAACTGGGTGATGCCTCTGTTGCCGCCATTGGTTTCGGTGTGATGGGCATCAGCTCAGCCTACGGCGCTATTGGCACCGACGAAGAGCGCCTTAAGGTTAGTTAGGGCATTTTCTTCCTCGGAATGAGTCGCCCACATATTCGCCATAGGTCCTCGACGCGGCCTACGCGTCCGGTTGCACATTCTGGGATACCGCGAACGTCTACGGCGATTCCGAGGACCTCATCGGTAAATGGTGGGCATTGACTGCTCAGTATTTGTTCCTTTACTGAAAAACGTGAACAGGTTCAAGCTGAACCCCGAGAAGCGGAGCAAGATTTTCCTTGCGACAAAGTTTGGACTCACGATGACTGGGGCCCGCGGCGACCCCGAATATGTCAAGGGGCAGTGTGATCAGTCGCTGAAGCGCCTTGGTGTCGACTACATCGACCTGTATTACCAACACCGGTTCGTTCAAAGTTATTCCACAACGGACTCTGCACTCACCGCCGTAAAGGGTCGATGCTAACACTGCTATCGAGAAGACCGTGGGTGCAATGGCCGAACTAGTCAAGTAAGCACCCAACACGTTTCGTATTGCTGTCGTACAATCAATATCTGGAGCAGAGAAGGCAAAGTCAAATACCTCGGACTGTCCGACTGCACGGCGACTGGCCTTCGCCGTGCCCATGCCGTGCACCCCATTGCCGCCCTCCAAATCGAATTTTCGCCCATCGTACTCGACGTCGAGAAGCCCCCGCTCCAGCTCATCCAGGCGGCGCGCTCCCTCGGCACCAAGATCATCTGCTACTCGCCCCTCGGACGCGGCTTCCTGACCGGGCAAATCAAATCCGTCGACGATCTCGAAGCGGACGACTTCAGACGCAGCGTCCCCAAATTTGCGGCAGCCAACTTCCCGAAGATTTTGGGTCTTGCGGCGAAGATCGGAGAGATCGGCAAGGCCCACAATGCGACCTCGGGCCAGACCACGCTGGCCTGGACCTTGGCGCAGGGCGAGGACTTCTTCGTCATTCCAGGAACGAAGAAGGTCAAGGTATGAAGTCGAATTTCGAGTCCCTGCAAGAATGCTGATCTGTTTGCGTTGTCGTAGTACCTGCATGAAAATGCGGCAGCCGGCTCCGTCAAATTGACGCCGAAGGAAATCGAGGAGGTCCGCAGGGTCGCTGAAGCCACCGAGATTCCGGGTGACAGATACGGGGCGGGATGGATTGATCTGACCTACGTCGACAGCCCGCCTCTCTAGGCTACTCTCGTACTGGCTACTTCCTGTTTTTGAAGGCTGTATAACTTGTAAGAACGAAATACGAACGGATCACGTTTACGACGTAGTGCAGGCTTTTGAGGCAATTGCAAGCGTTGAACGTTGAGGGTTGAGGGTATTTCTGGGTTAATGACAGTTGCATTGAATATCTGGAATGACCACACACCTCGCAGAGGCCCTCCAAACCAGAAAAGGGAACAGACAGTCGTTGTATTCGGACGCTGGGAATCGAACACAGTCTTCCGCGTGTACGATCAAATCATTACTAGCGGGTGTGCGCCGTGTACGTCCGAGTTGTTCTCCTACACATGATGCAATCTATAACAAACCTGTGAGGGAGAGTGTTGAAGCGTGAAATCTGACGGTATCTCGAATATCAGAGGAAGAGCTCGGCTGAGCTTGAGGGCACCTAGCTGACTGCAAGTTCTTTGAGTAACTAAGAATAACGATCGTCGGCCGTGCAATTTGCGTATGCGCAGCTGCGTCCCTTCTGCTTCCAAAAGGCAGGTCAAGGGCTGATATTTGAAAGCCGGGGACTCATTGAACGTGGTCTCCCGCATACTACGGAGCCGGGTGTGGGAGGAGTTTCAAAGGGTACTAAATCTGATGTTTACCTGAGTGGTTGAATGTAGCTGATCTTGCCTCGATGAATCGGTCTCCTGCTGTGAAGCCCTAGTGGGGAAGCAAATAAAAAAAGACGATAGCGACTTTTCATTCAGACGCCGGGTTGAATCGAACCCGGATCTCTCGCAGTATACTTCGTGTGGATGATCAACTAATCATGCACGATGCACCACGTCCGAGTTATTCTCCCGCATTGGAGGCGGTCTGAGGGAGAGTGTTGCTGAGTAAACGGGACGTTTTTTTTTTGGGAGTGAATGGGCCATCTGAAAGTACTTACTTGGTTGAGCGATTGCGCGTAATAAGTGCCCTTCTTGCTTCGATGAATTGTTCGCCTTCTGTGTGAAGCGCCAGTGGGTGAAGCAAATCAAAAAGGCTATGATACAATTTCTCCATTCGGACGCCGAGAATCGAACCCGGTCTCCCGCGTGCATGCAACCAAGACTATGCCACTTCATTATTAGCGGGTGTGTTCCACGCACCACGTCCGAGTCATTCTCCTGCATAAGAGGCGCTCTGTGAGGGAGCGTGTTGGTGTAAACCTGATGGAGGGTCGAATTTCAGAGTGAGTCGCCGCGTGAAATAAAAAGTGCTTACCTGAGAGTCTGTGTGCGACGAATCCTCGTTGCTTCGATGAATTGTTGTCGGGGGAAGCGCTAGTGGGGGAGTAAACAGGGGGGAAAAAGCGACACTCTCTCTCAAATTTTATCCGGACCCCGGGAATCGAACCCGGATCTCTCGCAGTAGCTGACACCAATAGAGCGAGTGTGCACCATGCACCACGTCCGAGTATTTCTCATACATGAGAGCCGGGCTGGGAGGGGGAGTGTTGGAGCCTGATGCGGGTCGGATTTCAAAGTTGAAGTCGCCGCATGAAATAAAAGTGCTTGCCTGAGAGACTGTGTACGACGAATCCCTGTCGCTTCGATAAGATAGTCTCCTTTGTGAAGGGCTAGTGGGCGAGGTAAACGGGAAAAAAAAAATAGCAACGCGGGCACCGCATTCAGACGCCGGGAATCGAACCCGGATCTCGCGCAGTAGACGAGTTCGAGGCAAATTTCCAGTCTCAGCAGGCATGCACCATGCACCACGTCCGAGTCCTTCTCCAACATACATCGGAGGTTACGATGGGGAGTTTCGAGACGGGTAAACCTGACGAAACTTTGATGTCAGAGTGAATAATTGCCTGGTAGTTGAGAAAATAGCGTCCTACTGTGAAGCGCGAACGGGGAAGCAGAAAAAAAAAGACAACAGGCTGAACAGCAAACTCTCGCTCGAACGCCGGGAGTCGAACCCGGTCCTCCAGCATCACAGTGGTTTTTCTTTTTACACCTCAAATGAAGCTGGTGTGCGCCGTGCACCACGCCCGAGTTCTTATCTCGCAGTGTGAGCGGCGTACAAGGAGAGCCGCAGAGATAGCTCAGTAATAACCTGTGTTAGACATTCAGAGCAGGAATACATTATTGGGGCGTACTCACGTCAGAAATGGATGTAGGCTCAGAATATGACAGCTGGGAGGACTTTGTGGCCCGTAAAAAGCACCAAAGGCGGTCATGATCATTCGGACGTCGGGAATCGAGTCCGATCTCCCGCGCAAATATTGAAGAGTTCCTACATATTGCTAGCAAGAGTGCGCCGTGCACCACGTCCGAGTTCCTCTTCAGTGCTGGTGGCGGGTTAGGGAGGGACGTTCTCGACGAGTGGGATGTGGTTCGAGTATCATGATCCGCTGAGAATCGCGGAGTAAAAGCCAGAGGTCACGGTAGGTGACGAGCAGAGTCGCGGAGGGATAACGCTGGACCATGAAACTCGAGCGCAAGGAGCGGGGCCGTGTGAATGCCCAATATTCATGTCTGTTTAACCATGGCACTTGTTAGTTCTCTCGAATTGGCCCAAAAAAAAAGGTCAAGGTGTGGTTCAAGGCGCATTCGAACGCCGGGAGTCGAACCCAGTCTCCCGCGGACGAGCAAGCGAATTTTATATCGTTAGCGGGTGTGCACCGCGCACCACGTCCGAGTTACTCTGGAATACCTGTATTGCGTTAGAAAAGTACGTTCTCGACGAGTCGGCGTGGTTCTAAGTCGCCCAAAAGCAACCCAAAAGTCTCCTGGAAGCTTGGATAGGCGAATAATTGAATGGAAGCCCGATTTCAAAGTCTAAGAGAAGAATACCTGAGGGCACGCCGAGAGAACGAAGGCGCAAAATCCCCAGAGAGCGCTACGCAACATGGAAGTCGAGAGCAAGGGACGGCCGGAAATGGCCCGATGCTTGTATCTGTTTACTTATAGCTTCCCGTCTGCAACTCTCTACCACGTCATGTCTGCGCTCAAAAGAAGTCCCTCGAGCTCCACTGTACAAAAATCTGGGTTCTCCGCAAAATGGGATGCAAGTCTCTCTCTTTTCTCGTGCAAACGCTACTGGAAGACTGACTGTAAAAGTTCCAAAAAAACGACTGCGGTGATCAAGAAACGCCAGGATGAGAACCACAGGACCGTCCCCACCTGAACTGGTCCCTACCATCTCCTCTGGTGCGCTCCCGTCGACGCCCGCGAGCGAATGGGCTGCGAGTACGAACGACATACTCCAAGAGCACGTTACAAGCACGTCTATCGATTCTGATCCACCTGAAGCGCCTCTTGGTCGTCTTGAGCACCCTCCAAAGCCCCTAGATGGGGAATCCCCAAGTGGCAACGACGGACAGGCTGAGAAGGAAACATCCCGGACGACGCCTTCATCCAGCCATCCTACCACGAATGACGGTGCGCCTCATGTGCGTTTGGTTACTGGTAACGACTGTGCTAATTTCATTCATGAAGCGTCTTCATCGCCATCCCGATTCGGATCCGACTCCTTCGCGTCCGCCTCCTCCTGCATTTCGTCAGACTCGACGGCGCAAGAGACTGTCGAAAGTACCGCTGTCGATATCGGACACGGAGACAGCTCGGGCGGCGGTGTGAGGAGGGAACGGCCTAAGATGCAGGCACAGGAAGACTTCGCGAGCAGCCCGGGTCCTTTGTCTACGACGAATACAACATCCTTCGGTGCGTTTTCTGTTTGCGCTTAGCTACGCAGTATGCTGATTTCGCCCATAAAGCTTCGTCGTCGTCGTCCCAATCTGGATCGCAGTCCTTCGCGTCTCCCTTGGATGGCGCTTCGTCTGACTCAGCGGCGCAAGAGACCATCGACAGCACGGCCGTCGAGATCGGGCACGGACACGGTACCTACCATGGCCCCGCATCCAAGCATTATCGCACCGAGTCTCCCGTCTCCTCCGAATCTCCACCTGCGCACTGGACGGACGAGATCGCACATACATCTGAGTCAGGATTCCAGCCCTTTGCGTCCCCGTCGTCGCGCTTTTCGTCACACTCAGCGGTGCAAGACACCGTCGACAGCACCGCAATATTATTCCCGCCTCCACATGCTCACTGGACGGACGAGAGCGTGCATCCACCGTCGCAGTCCCGATCTCAGTTCTTCGCTTCCCCCTCGACAGCGCAAGAGACCATCGACAGCACGGCTGTCGAGATCGGACACGGCCACGGCCGCAGCGCGTTTGACTCCGCTAACGACGCGCGCTGGGCGGACGAAATAACGCGCACCCCATCCTTCACGGCAGCAAGCCTACCCTCCGAACCGCGTCCTGCACTCGCCGAATCACCAGCGCAAAGCCACGCCTCTAGCATGGCCGTGCACACGGGGCACTCTATGCGCTCTTCATCCTCTTTGATGCCCGCTTCCCCATCGTCCGTATCCCCGCTTACCCCCACTTCCACATCCCTCGACGCGCCTACTTCGCCAGACGCATCCTTCGACGCACCCATAACCCCCGACGCCTCCGCAGACCTCCTCTCGGAGCTCCACCTCGACTTCCTCGCGCGCCCCGCGATGCGGAGCGACTCCACGGGGCTGAGCACGAGGGCGCATACGGGGCACCGGGGGTCGGTGTCTGCCATTCCGCCGCGACCTTCGTTTGGTTCTTCACCCGTGTCTCCGCCTGCTCAGCTTGCGAATGGAGTGGATCCACCTCCTGCGAATGCGTATCCACCCGCAGACGGAGCTGTTGAGGGACAGCGCGTGCAGTCCCCGCAGCCGCTCTTTCCCGAGGACATCGAGATGTTTCCGCGGCAGAAGGGGAAGGACGGGCATCGGTGCCCCATGCGCTTCGCGGCCAAAGAGTGTAAGCACCGCGTTCGGGACAGTGCGAGGCGGGCAATTGTGCCCCACTTATCCCCTGAGGGCGGGCTCGATGTGGCTATGCATGTCGCTATGAATACGGGCATGGCAGTGGCAGTGGCAAGGGAGGAGGAGGAGGATGAAGTGGAAGAGGAGAGGGAGAGGGAGGGGGAGGACATGAGGGAGAAGGGTGAGCAGCCGCATCGGTGCCCGGTGCGGTGCGCGGCGGTGGAGTGTAAGCATCGGGTGAGGGAGAGGGAGGGTGTGGCGCGGGGATGAGGAGGGATGAGGATGAGGGGAGAAGGGCGCGGAGTGGGTGGGGTGCGACTCCGGAGATGCAGATGGGAGGATGTGTATGGTGGCCTGGCTTATTTCTCTGTCGCTCAGATGACGGGCGAGGGAGGGGCCGCAGCACGCGCACTGGAATGTACCCGACATCGGCCACTTCGTTTTGCCCTTTCCGACTACCTCGGCGGTCTCCTTCACCGTCCGAGCTTTCCTTTCATCGAGCCGACGCCGATTCTTACGATCCTCGCCCGCCTTTCCGTGAGGCTCTCCAGGCTATCGACGTTTGGCGTGCCGTACACCTTTTTTTTTCACCCGCAACCTGGCATTCGGAAGGAGGCGCGGCTTGTCAGACACGGTGCGCTACCCCCTTCCTTCCTCCCTCTTTCTGCATTCTTCGTTTGCTCATGGCACCTCAGCTCCCCGGCTTAGTTGTCGTCGTCGTCTCCCGGGGTGCAGTCGTCCCACACTCCTCACTGTAATCACCAGCCGCTGGCACTCTTATGCTGCTCGCGCTCGTCTCGCGATACCCACTCGCGCACGGCGCTGTAATCCGCACCGCTCTTCGGTTAGCCGATGTGCATCCGCTCCCCATCCCGCACTCGCCTCGTCTCGCACACTGGCCATCGCAGTGTCTCGATGCCCGTTACACAAGAGTAGCCTCGATACTGAGGTGGGCGTGAGCTGTGTATCCATTCGGAACGGTGCCGACCGTGCAGCACGTCTCCAGTACTGGACCGCGCTCCCCTTCATCCTTGCCTCTCCCTGCCTCCGATTCGTGGCAGTACTAGTTGTAATCATCGCCCGGTCCGCGTCGGGCGAGCAAACCTTCGTCCTGTCTCCCCGTGCCGGTCGTTGTCGTCGGGTACTGCATTGTCGCCGTCGGAGGAAGATTCTTACGGCGCTCGTCATCCACGGTCGCGCATCGACTCGTTTCGGGGTCCCATTGTAGCATTGTATCGCCCAGGACCATATTGATCAGGCCTGACCTTCGCGTAGCCAGCGTGCCACTTATGCCATCGCGCCCAGGGTCCGGACTCGTCCCAGGGGTACCCTCCGACGGTCTGCAGAGTGCCTCAAGGTCGCTCAGATTCGACTGGGTGCCGTCCCGCTCTGCAGTTTTGCCGCTGTGCTGGCTCGCGTTCTCCCAGCACCCGCCGTGTCTGGCTTACAATCTCCCCAGGCGGCACTTACAGTCTCCGCAGCCGTTTTCCCCCAGCGGCAGTTGGCATTCCTATGCGCGTTGGGGGAGTGCGAAGTGGTGGGGAGAGGGAGGGATCGCACAGTGCACGCGGGGACTCGTTGCGCACACATCGTGCATTTGCTCGAAGACACGCGTGCGTCATCGACCTCCCGCTATCTTGCATCGGACTCCACCGTCAGTGCCGGGCAGCGCACGATGACGAGCTCGACATGGAGGCGAAGGTCGTGCCCCCGCCGTTGCCTGCTCGCTGTGGAGTGTAGACGGAGACAGGCAGAGGGTCGTGCGGCGCTGTCGACCAGCGGCACGCTAGGGCTGCACCACATAGACATACTCCTATATGCTCCCTCGTCATATTCTGCCGCACCCGGCGTACTCCCACCGCTTGGCCCTTTTGTCGATCCCTATTCTCAGAGCCGTCGCTCGTGCCCATCTCTCGCAGTGGTCTCGCGACGTCTGCCCGTAGTCTTGCGGCTCTCGTCTTTTGCCCCAAACGGTTACTAAGTACGTTTGGACGGACGAGCGCTCAGCAGCGCTATTTCCCCTTTCGCGGCGTGGTGGGCCTTGAGAAGCCTTGAAGTGCACGGAGTGCGACTGAAAACCAGATGGGAATGGCGGTGTATGCGCGCGAGGGATGCCCGCGTTACAGGTCACAAATACAGTTATAATCATACAGTAAGCTAGCTATTACAGTCCCTCGATTCTGCGTGAGAATATAATGTCAGTGTGTAGATTCCAAGAGTACACTTGCTCTGAGTGCTTGGGCAGGACTTTGGGCATTTGTGCGGTTTGGCCAGTATGTCCTCGTGGCTTTCAAATGCTTTCTCGTCTTGCACCACTATGCAGCCGATTGCCTGCTTGGACAACACAGGTCTTGACCGCCTCGACCAACCTGCTTTCCTGGAAGCCCTGCTTTCCTAGAAGCCCTGCTTTGTACCAAGGCTTTATCTTTCCACAATTGTTCCGCAAGTTGCAACGTGAATAAATTATCGTAGGTCTGTTGAAGGAGCTCGAGTCATGAACGCTACTTTGAATTGAACGATCCTGCTCTCGTGGTCTAGTAGAATGATACGCGCTTTGGGATTCATCTCAGTTGTGCGGGGTCCCGGGTTCAAATCCCGGCGAGGGTCTTTTTGCTTTCAATCTCAGCATGTTGTCGTTGAACGGGCATGGATCGCATGGCCTGCGCAAGGTATCCCAACTACAGAGGTATGTTCTTTCCTCGTCTACCGGTGATGTTACAGCTATTTGCGGAACTTAGGGCGCGGCCAGTTTTTTTCCAAAAAGGGATGTTTTTGATTGTTTTCACCATTTTGCTCGCTGTGGCCTCAATTCTGACCGGAATACGGATATTATTGGTGCATCCTCTTCCCCTTGAAATTCCACAGATGCCAGGTGCTTTCGATTTTCGATTTGAGGCACCTGGATCTGCGCTGTTTGAGTTAGCATATTTCACCGCATTTTGCCTGCCATGTTCGCGCCAAGGCCCCGAATGATCCAGGAATTTGACATGGCCAACCCACATGTATTCCGCACCTGCAAGGCTGCCCAGATTTTGGCTACTACATCCAGTACCTTTGTGGCACGCTCAGGTGAAATTGCTCAACATCTGATGGCAGGAATCAGAACGAATCAGATATGAGATAAAAATTCTAAGCATCCTTGCATCTGTGTAATCATCTCAAATGTTATATGCTAGGATATTGGAAGATTCACACCACTTCAGCTCACACAGGAAGTGTTATGCATGAAAACAGACCAACTCCCGCATATGGTCTATATTATGTAATTACCACCGATCGTTGGGTGCATGCAGGTGCGGAATGCATGGCAGAGTGGAATGATTCGAAACAACTAAGAGATTGCTTAAGATTTGAGCCTTATACAGCTGTTATGCCAAAATCAACATTTTTGAGAAAAAAATGATCCGCGCCCTAAGTTCCGCAAATAGCTGTAATACCATTGCCCGAACAGGACTTAGTTCCGTTGCCTACATATGATCCTGTTCCTGCATGCCCAGTATGAATGCAGGTTTCCCTGCGTTCAAGCGTCGTGGTCCTACAATTTGTAGTCGGAGTCGGCATCACACACCTGTTTCAACTTGCTGGTAGAAAGTCTGCAATGGAAAAGAAGTGAGTTTCTGCTGCAGAATTCGGGAGGCCCTCAGCAAATGGACAGTGAGGGATTGCACCCTCTATCTACGCCGGCTTTGGCTGAAGCTCTTGTATCTGCTTACTCGCAACAAGCCGATCTCAGCCCTCGCGTTCCGCGATAATTGGTTCAATAATCAGTTGGTCCTTTCTTTTGACCTTTTAAGTAATGTTCACTGGTCCCCTGATCGTGTTCAACGAATGTGAAAAGGACTGAATCCAAGGATTCATCGCGGCATTGCTCAACATTATGAGTTTCCCAGAGTGTTACAACACATAATCGTGAATTCGCGATTCAGCTTCAAAGCTACCTATCCACTAAACTGACAACCCCTAACACCTCCGAATTGGTGTAGGGGTCAACATTGCCGCTTCTCACTTCCGTCATCCTTAATTGGGTAGCGTAATCAGGACGCGGCAGCCCGGGGTTCGATTCCCCGATTCGGAATGTATCATCACCACAACTCTTTTAGTGTTTTTGCCTTTGGCAACGGTGACCAATTCATTGCGCCGGGTCATTAATATTCTGCTGTTGTTAGTCTTATACCAGGTCCAGAGTTTGTGAGATTGCCTGCATACATGAAAACAACAATTCTCCCGCAGTCCGCTTCTACGCTGATTCGGGGGATTTAAACTACCCGACATTGAACCGACATTGAATGTCTAATACATATATATGTTGTTCACGAATTGAGCGGCGCGCTTTTCGGAAAGGGTTTGAGTCGATTCGGTCATTTCCAGCGGGAGGCTAGATCGATAGACCAAGGCTCGTGTTCAACATTGATCTTCCGTGCCTAGATCATAATCATCGACCATGCATCAGGACCCCGGTTAATGCATTAACCGGGGTCCTGATGCATCGCGAAGGCCTGATGAGAATCCTGACAAAATTTTGAGATTTTGACCTCTACGCCTGACCAAAATCCTGCCCTCAGGAGCGCTCGGCCTGTTCCTGACAAAACCGCGGCAGCGGAAGAAAACTGATGCAAATTCCTGACATTTTTGGTGCGATTTTGGGTCAAGGCCTGTTGCAATCCTGACAAAAGTCGTCCTGACATTTTGCCTCAAAAAAAAATCAGTCCAAAGGTATAAACGCGAGTTTTCCATGATGCTCTAGCCGTGTCAAATCGAATAATATTGGAGTCCGTGTAAGGTCCTACCGAGAAATTAATGTCTGGAGGCCTAGACTAAGATCGCGATGGAGTCGGAAGGCTTTCTTGGCAGCGAAATGTGCCGATGTTGAGCATGAGTTTCGTGAAAGGCGGCGCGGAACCGTTTGGTCAACAGAAGGCGAGAAAAAACAAGAATGATGAGACAGTCCATCTTGGGCAAGGCTGACTGAATTGAATTCAGCGATGTAAGTTCCAGGGCCAAGCTGCTTACTGCTCGACACTGTATACAAGTACGTGGACTGGCTTGTGAATGGCTTGCGCTTGCTAAATAACCCTCCAACTTTCTTCCTCCTTCCTTCCTGAGAATCCTGCAAGAGGCTGAGGCGATCGCCGCGGCAAACAGTGCGGATCACAAAAGCTGATGGATCAGCTTGATCATCGATGGATCGGCGGCTTTCCTCCACGGTCATCTCTTTCCACGGCGGACAATGAGCTGTCACCTGCGAAACGGGTTTATGCGGTCATAGAATCTGTACCTGAACTGTCACCTTGTTAAATCCGAGCCGCGTACCCCTTTAGGACTGATTGTGGCCGCAGCCAGCCTCGTGTTTAGCGGCATTTCCTTTTGGGTACGATAGCGAAGTTTTTTTGACAGCTTCTTCGATTTGCGCAAAAGTGGGAGAAAAACAAATTAATAGGGTTAACCACACATTTTAAGTAGCCACGAAAATGTAAATAAAAAAGGAAACATGAAATTTGAAAGTGTCGATATTAATACTGATTAGACTGACTCTTCGCCGCTGGATGATTCGCGCTCCGACATGTCGACGTCGTACTCGGCAGCAAAAGCCGCCTTACCATCCCAAGTCCCACCCTGTTCTTCGCCCGAGGCCGCGTCGCCGGACATGTCATCGTCGTCCTCGCCGTCCGCGTCTTCGTCCTCGCCGGACATGTCGTCGTCGTGCTCGCCGTACGCGTCTGCGTCCTTGTCAATGTCGGAGGCACCGTCGTCGACGACGAAGGAGGCCACGCTGCCGGCGTCGGACGCTTCACTGTCGTCCTCGCTGTCCTCGCTGCCGACAATGTCCCCCTCGCCTTCATCGTCAGCATCCTCCCCGACACCCTTGCCCGACGCTTCGGCTTCATCCGTCCCAAAATCGAGATCGTAGGCGGCGAAGACGGTGTCGCCGAACTTCTTCGTCATCTCGGCTTGGGTCAGAAGGTTGTCCCCACGACGGTGGAAGAAGTTGGTGGTGCCCGGGGGGAACACAACAGTGAGCTGGGCCTTGAGTTTGCGCCGCGCCTGGGGAGGTCGATTGTTAAACCAGTCGGGCGAGTAGTACTGAATCGGCATTTCTTTGGGTACCTGGAAATTTTGTTAGCAAAAGGATATTGGGTGCGACAAGCAGAAGATGAACTGACCTCTTGGAAGTAGCCAGGATTGCGCTCGCCAAAGGGAGGGGCTACGCGTCGTTGGCGGTGCTTTGCGGCCTTGGTCTTGCCGTCTGCGAGAAGGTCTTCCAGATGGAGACGATCCACCGCTCGAACGAGTTGGTCGGCGGCTTCAGACCTTTCAGGGCGTGCAAGGGCGCGGGGGCCCTGAGGAGTGCTTTCGTCGTCCGAGGTGGCCTTGGCGGAGAACATGAGCTGGAGTCGCTTGACAACCTTGGTGTCCTTCATATACGTTTCGCGCACTTTATAGAGCTAGGAGAGAATCAATTGAGGAAATGGAACATACAAGTGAGAACTTACACGAGAGCGAGCCTGAGTAAATTTGTTCCTCTCCGCGTTCGTCTTGTTTGCACCCGCCGTCCGCACCTCCAGCGCCCACTTGGCGTACAGGTAGTGATGGGCGAAATGGTCGTACATCTGGGACATGAGCCCCGAATCTTTGACGTAGCGCGTGTCGGGATGGAGGAAATCGTAAAAGTGGCCGGCTATGAGGAAGCGGAATGTGTCGATGGCGCACATGCGCATTGCTGTATTGTACATGGAGTAGGCGCTTTGAGTGAAGTCGATCGCCCAGACGGTGATGCCGATTTTTGCCATGTAAGATTTGCAGTGGAGGATGGCGCCTTCTTCCAGCTGAAGAAACGTACGAACGATTCGGCTGCTGGAGCGGATACACTCTTCGACGCAGATGCCGACCTTAACAGAGAACGAACGTTGTTCAGCATCTATAAACTTGAAACGCCGGATCTGACTGACTTTGACTTGGCTGGGCTCGATGATGTTTTGGCCTAGTTCCCCCCTCCTCCTCAACTCGGCAACGGTAAGGCCTTGGTGTGTGCGTTCGAATTGCTGAACCGCATCTGGTGTAGCCGATGCAGGAGGACTGGTGGAGTCCAGATTGCCCGAGAGAAGACGTATGTGCATATGGAAGGAGTTCTAGCAGCAGAGGTATGAGCGAATGTCAGGAGGATCAAGAGATGTGCTTTACCTTGAACGATCTAGCCCCGGGATCAATGTCGCCCTTGAGCATCTGATGCTCAGCGACTTTCCTTGGAGTGCCTTGCTTCGGAGCGTTCTTGCCTTGGGTGCCTTTGGTGCCCTTGGAAGAAGAACCGGAGGGCGTAGATGGGGAACCTGACGAACTACGGGCTCCGCTGGTGGGCGAGCCCGACGGGTTGGAGGACGGACGAGGCGGTTTGGGGGAAGCGCGAGGCGGTTTGGCAGAAGCGCCAGGCGCTTTGGTAGAGCCAGACGAACGAGAGGTCTGGGGAGATGGACGAGTCGGCGTGGGCGATGGAGTAGACTCGTTGTGGGCGTTGGAGCGACGACGGTCTGAGGCGGTAGGCTCATTCGCGGAAGAAGCCTTGGATGGCGCAGGCCTCTTCCGAGGGTCCTGAGTACGCTCGGCCTTGGATGGCTCAGGCCTCTTCCGAGGGTCCTGAGTACGCTCGGCCTTGGATGGCTCAGGCCTCTTCCGAGGGTCCTGAGTACGCTCGGCCTTGGATGCACGCTCGGCCTTCGCCGCCCTGAGAGGATACACATTAGTGGATAAAGTAAGTCGAGTAGCACGACGACATACCTTTCGAGAGCTTCAAGACGTGCTATAGCAGTCTGCATCTGTGCAGCAAGTACGTCTCGTTCAGCCTGTACAGCATCCTTCTGCGCTTTCACCGCGGCGAAGTCGTCCTCAACGGCCTCTTTGAACGCAGTCATCTCCTTCTGCACATGGTCGTTGTACCCCAGCTCAACATTTTTGAGGCGCTGGACGAGCTCGTTGTTGGTGGCTAGCATGAGCGCGATGTCCTCAGGTGAGGGTTGGGCGGGAGCTGAGTTGTTGGGGTAATTGGCAGGGTTCGGAGCATAAGCGTTGTCGGGGTAGGCGGCGGGATATGCGTTCTGGGGAAAGTCACTCGGAGTGACAAGAGCGGGATTATAGCCACCCGAAGTGACATCGTAGGAGGGTTCGACGCCAATGGCATCGTGGTTATAGCCACTCGAAGTGACAGAGTTGTCGTAGGATTGGTCGAAGCCATGGTTGGGGTCCATGGTGGAGAGGATATGGGGATTGGATTGGATTCAATGAGGTGGAAAGTGGAAGGAAAGTGAACTACAGTGGTATGTGGTTCAGCGCTGCAGTTATATGTGCCTTGCACAAAGACATACCGTTTGGGACTGCACAAAGGTCGCTTCTAATTGCCTCGTTCCACTTGTCAAGATAAAGGGATAAAGGGACCCGGTTCTAGCCAAGCCACGCGCCTGGCCACGCGCCTGAACGGCGGGGAAATGACTCCGTGGCAACGATAAAGTCGATTGTCGGCGCTGTGTCATCCAAGACAGTAGTCGGGCGCAGGGAGTCGCGGCGCAAACGAGTGTTGATTTTACAGAGACAGAGGAAGGTGACCAACGCGAAGTTGGCCAGTCCGCCAACGCGAAGTTGGCGCAGACGAGCGCGAAGCTCGTCGGGAGGGTGGTGGAAGGTGGAGACCATAAGCGGGAAGTGGGCCGACTTGCCGACTTCTGATGATGATGAGTCATCCAGAGCCACGTGAGATCAGATTTCGCTTTCTCTCTAAGTCCATCTCCACCCTTCATTGGCTTCGCGCCAGTGTCATTGGCTTCGCGCCAGTGTACCAATCCCATTGGCTTCGCGCCAGGGAATTACTCCCCTATTTGCACCCCATCGTCCAACAGAACCAGGAACAATGCCGCCCTCCGACATGCTCTCCGACATTAGGATGGATTTAGCCGAAAACCCCCTCACTATGAAGCTCATGGACCGCGGTACGTTCTGCTGAGCTACCAAAAAGACTCTACTTACCCGGCATAGATGCCTGGAAAGTCCGAGAAGCTCCCTTCGTCTATAACGGCGTCGATCTGGCCAAAA